GATAGATAGATAGATAGATAGATAGATAGATAGATAGATAGATAGATAGATAGATAGATAGATAGATAGATAGATAGATAGAAAACTACTGTGTTGCTTGTTTGCTTGAGTTTATATTGCTAGAATAAATAAGAAATAAGCAAATAAATTAAAATAAGGAGTTTGCAGCTTTGAAGTGGGACCTTTTTTTCTCTCTAATCTCGTATTCATATCAATATTAGAGCACTGATTGTTGCGTTTTTACCTGTAACTTCTCTCTTTTCCTTGAAATTGATTCACAAATGTTCGTTTATTGACTTGTGAAAGAATTATCTCTACTATAATTTGAGCTTTTCACATCTAATTTTGATGTTAAATTGTTTTTTTCCCAGTGGAAATCTGGAAGGTAATCAAATTACTTTGATCTAATATATCCCAATACATTGCTCTGATTAGAGGATACAAATTTAGATTTTTATGACTGTTAAAAATACTAAGTGAGCCAAAAACAGCAATAATCATCCACCCTGAATGCAGGGAAGATGCTAATTTCCCCACCATGAACTGGTCAGAGATGGATGCTGCTATAAACACAGATATATTGGATAATATCTGTTAGAGGCCCCAAAAAACCTGAGTGAGGCTTATGCTCATATCATAGATAAACACATCTAAACATGCAAAATGAGCAAAAACAGAATGGGTTAGATCAAAGCATGTTTATTTGTTACAACGGTAAGTCTATACCTGAATTCACCAGAGAGTCTCTTGAAAGTACAGATAATTTATGAAATATCATGTGCCACAAAATCTATTCTGTGCATAAAACAGAGAGTTATAAAAATGTATTTTCTGTCCGTTTGTTTTGCTGCTGAGTGTTCCAAATGGAAACCACGCAGGAGCACAGAAGGAGTGCTCATCCACTGACCCAACCTGAATGTGACACATACCTTAATATAACTAAATGTTGGTGAACCAAACAACCTGTAACTGAAGCCATGTTAAGTTCCACTAACAACAGGATACTGCAGTATACAATAAACAGCCTGGAAGAACAAATGATTCTCCAAAAAGATCAGAGGCAGTTAAAGCTAAATGTTTGTTGCCTTGGTTGTATACATGTCAGACCATTTTAGGCTTGTTTTATCTCCACATGCTGAAAGATCGCAAGTAGCTCATGAAGCCTCATTCCCTGATGACACCAGTGCAAAAAAAAACGGATCCACAATGATGAGTACATGAAAACAACCTGTTTCTTCTCCAAAGAAGAACGAGAGACAAAAAAACACAACCCAATTCAATCACAATTTAAGGCACAAGAAAGCCAGATTAGTACACTGCAAAAAATTGAAATCTAAGTCATTTTTTCTTAAAATAAGTGCATTTTTTCTCGAATTGATGACGAAAGTGAGACATTTTGCCAATGGAACAAGACAGTTTACATTTAAAATAAGAAAAAACTATTGCATTGTCTTATTTCAAGTTCATATTATCTAATTATCTTATTTTAAGAGTAAATATACTAATTTCATTGGCAAATTATCTTATTTACCTACTCAAATTAAGGGTAAATACACTTAATTTCAGAAATTTGTTACTTATTTCTAGATTGTTTTTGCAGTGTAGATTAAAATTCCTAATGATTTGACCTAACAGTGTGGTAGGGATATTCTTTGCAGTCCTCTGATCTAAAGCACTATTATCTGTTACTGTTTCACCCAGTTAACTTTAGCTAATAAAACCTTCAAAGTAATCAAGATTTCGCTACATTTAGGTTAAAAATACTGGGTAGTGTGGTCAAAAGATGCAGTTATTCTGTTTGATGTGATTAGATGATCAATAGGCTGGATACTGGGAAGCAGATCCAGCCTAAATCTACAAAAAACAATTGTGTTCTGTAGGAAATTATATATTTTTTATTAACTCCCTGCAAAAAAGGTAATCCTCTATCAGGGGTGGAAAGTAACGGATTACATTTACTCACGTTACTGTAATTGAGTACTTTTTCAGAGAAATTTGTAATTTTCTGAGTAGTTTTTGAAATATGTAATTTTACTTTTACTCAAGTAAATTTTAACCTAAGTAGTTTTACTTCCCTACATTTAAAACCTCCTCACGTTACTGAGTAAAAAAAATAAATAATAAAAAAATACTGGTAAAAAAATGAAATGCGGACACTGTGTTTTGAAGTTAGATCCTGTGAGCACTTTCTTTTAAATTGTTGGATCCTGTGAGAATTTTGTTTTATTGTGAACAGTGGGACCCTGTGGCATTTTAGTTTGATTTCTAGTATCTTTTGGGCAATTAATTTTGTATGCAGTTTGAATTCTTTAAATTGTAGTTTAAATTTCTTTATTGTTGGACAGTAGGGTTGAAAATAGTTTGCACTTTATGGTTCAGGTTGTGACTGTCCTTGTGCTGTGAGGAAGTTTGTTCTTTAGCCCAGCAAATATGCCTTGAAATCGATTAAAACACCTTGTGCTCAATTCGATTCATGACTCATCCTTTTTTTGCATTAAATAACTCAAAGTAACTAAGTAACTTTTACTCAAATTACATTTTAAATGAAATAATTTTGTATTTTTACTTGAGTAAATTTTTGAGATGGGTAATTTTACTTTTAATTAATTTTTTAATTAATTTAGGCAAAGTAAAGATACTTTTACTCGATTACAATTTTTTAGAACTCTTTCCACCTCTGAAAGAAAGGTGTTG